GTCTTTGTAGAGGAATGAGGTGTCCCACCTTACAAAGTTCCCCACAACAGAGTCAAAGCTCCTGAGCTTCTGCAGGATGCCATGCTCTTTTTCTGTCTGTGTCTTTGTTATCTTCACAGCCACCGTTTCATTGGTGGCGGACTTGACACACTTGGTGACTTTTGCAAAGGCTCCTTGTCCAATTAAGTCCAGAACAAGGTAGTCTGAAAACTTGGAGGACAGCTTTGCTCCTCTGATGACCTGGAGGTCGCTATCAAAAGAGGCAGCCATGTTGTAGCAGAAAACCTGTTGCCTGTAGATCAGGTCAGTAATGTTTTTTTTCAAAAAAATTGAAATAAGACAGTGACAAATGAAAACAGCCAGTCTTGACAAGAAACTGAGTTCAACTGACTGACTGATATATGAAGATTGGCCTAGTAGAATTCTTAGGTGTTCTAGAGTCCTAGAATGTCTCTGTTTGACATTCCATGGAACTCTGGGTGGAATGCAGTAATTCCATATATATTCCAATATTCCAATAATAAGAAATGTCATACATGTATATTCTTTTTTAATTGTTTATAAAAAACTAATAAATATATATATATATGGTGTATTTATATAACCTTAATGGGCTTTTGCAGTTTTTCTTGTTTGTCAAGATCACTAAAAATTAAGCGAGGTAATCCTGTTAAACTGTTGGCCTAATCCTGCCAAACTTTAATAGAGTTTGTCAACTGTGTATGGGATTATGTGTGTGTTTCTTCAGGACACTATTGTATAGACCTCCTTGTGATTTGATGTCTCTGGACTTTGCCTTAGTGAGAGGAAGCACATCTCACTGCAGATGGATATTTGCACCAGCCAGAAGTTTATACGTTTATCTTTAAAGTCTATACAAGGGTTTTTTCACCTTACTGCTTAAAAATGATGTCCAGGGCGCCGAGGTGAGTCAGCATTTTTCCTGTTTATATATGAATGTTAAGGCATCATTGCTAAAAATGTTCATTTTGACACTGAAGGCCATATCATTATAATAAAAAACATGCTTGCATTGTCTCAATATGGCAGCTGAAATAATAATAATGAGCAACATCATGACAGAAGAAAGAGTGGGCATGTTCATTCTGGTCTATATGTGATCATTTTATTTAGCTTATTCTCTTCTTCATACAAAAATATATGTTAAAATGTTGTTTAACTTTTGCCATGTTCATGTTTCCTGTTACCATTCTGACAAATTATGGTGAAAAGAGTTGATTTATTGCCACAGTAAAATTACCACCATTACTAATTGACATTTCATTTTTAAATAGTGTAGTATGTATTGCATTCGGTGCAACAAACACGCACATAATCAATCATATACTTCACTTTATCTTAATTATTGGCTCATAATTGATAACAATCTATATTTGTCGAAACTACTTAAATACTTGTGACAGATTCTACCTTTTAACAATCTTCAGTGACAGATGTTTGCCAACTGAAACCTATTTTCATTAACTTGGGCCACACAAAACTATCATAACCTCCAATGCTTTCTTTTAATGTATACCTCTTTTCTGTCAAATTAAATATATGAATAACATTGTGACGCCCACTTAATAATTGTTTAATAGAAGTGCAGGGTGACAGGACAATTTATGCTTTACTGTCTTAATCTTATCTTTAACAGGTGGCATGACTCCCTGGTTAACTCTAAGCCCAAAAAACCTGCTCCGAAGCCAGGGGGGAAGGTAAGGATGACCTTTACCAAGAGTTTTATTGTCTTACACATTTCAGACTCATCACCTTTTCTGATGGATAATAATAAGTGTGAAGTTAAAACTTCTTTGCAGCAATGTTGAGCGCATCATCAAATGAGGGAAACTGGATTCACCTGTCAATACACTGATATTTATTGAGAGACAGACAATTACATACGGCCGGGAAATCATCCTAGTTTCACACTGTCCTTGTGCTCCACCAAGGTAATCTCTGCCCCAAAAGACACAAAACATCTAACCAACACGAGGAGAGGCGGGCTCCCAGAAAGCCCGCGTATACCTAATTAGTAGCAGATGTGAGACAATAGTCTACTTGTCTCAAAGAGATCCAGACAAGCCTCAACCTACACAGGGGTCTTTGACTGACTACAAGCAGATGTTTGCAGTATCACAGATTCTATAAAACAATAAGAAACTCTATAAACAGATCAGATGAAAATATTCTCTTACAGATTCACTCTTTTTATCAATCTATTGATAACCAATTAACATTAGTCTAAGAATATTTCAGTCAATACTTAAAATCAATAAGCGTCCTCAGAGTTGGGTGGGCTCAGATACATTCATTACATTAAAAATAGAACAAGATTGAAAAACACTTCAATCACCCTGATTGAACACAGTCAATCATAATAAAAATCATCTCTCTTCAGTGCTTGGCATTTTTGTCAAAAGGTACAATAATAAACACATGGGATACAAAATATTATAGCAAAATATATGTTTCAAGAATAAGATATTTTATCATTTATCACTCAGTTAATCTCCTTCATCAAACACAAATTCTAAATCAGCTTACATCTCAAAGATTTACTTCAAGGCAATTACTTATTAAAACACAATTAGAATTTAGGATTTATAATAAATCCAATTGAGGTATAAATCAGAATCATGAGAGATCCAGCTAAGGTTCCTAGTTAAGGTATAAATTCACAGTGATGAATCGATCAATCTGTAATCTGTAAAGTTACAGTGTCCTCAATCTTTAACATTACTTTACGTTTACTTCATTACACTGTATTCAAGAGTAAGGCATGATATTTAATTAATTACATTACTTCAACTATCAATCATTATGTCATTTCAAAATCTGAAGGGAAAGCTAAACAATTCTCAAGATGTTTAACAATCTGAAGAATCAAACATTTTATTGTATAACAACCTGTAAAAGAAAAATCAAAACATCTGTTCTTTATTCAGAGCATCAACTGTAATCAATATCAAGACATCTGTTTTACCTGGTAATGATTAGGGATAGTAACATTGTCTGTTATAATATTAGAAATATCTTATTGTTCAATACCTTATAAATCTGAAAATATCAATTAATTAATTAGTTTAGTGTGAAAGTGTAATCTGATAAAATATATTTATCACCACTATTTAACACATATCTGTTCATTGGGAATACAAAAACAATCATTAATTGTACATCTGTAATCATCTGGTCATTCAATTCAAATGTTATCTTTGTACGAGAGCTAGAAGACATGTTTTCCTCCTCTCTTTATGACACAGAATGTCTGGTGTGTAAAGGCATCCTGATACTGTAGATTAGCACTGAGGTGCTGATTGGCTCAAAACTCTTCTTCATCAGAGCGCCATAACTCAATTATCTGTAGATTAGCACTGAGGTGCTGATTGGCTCAAAACTCTTCTTCATCAGAGCGCCATATCTCAATCCCCCCCAATTGCTCTGCTTTTGTGGCTCAATTCAGTGAGCACTGTATGATCTCCCAGTGAAACAGAGGCTCATCTGCCTGCATTCCTTCTGCTATCTGCTTGAGAGCAGTGCACCTGCCTATTCCAAGTGGCACATCCAGATGCCCCCCCCGTGATGGGAGAGGTTATGAAAACATCTGCTCCTCCAATGAAACATGGAAACCTTGTATGACGACCTCTGAAACCATCGCTCGTCCTGCGAGCGAAAATGAAGAAGCATCCCATCTCATCAGAAAGTTGAAGATTAGAATCCTCTCATCTCGAACGACCTCCTTGCCCGTGGATAAGTTGCTCTCTGCAGCCGCAGAGTGTGATCCTCTCTCTCTGACCCTTGGCCTTCAGAGCTGTCCTAGTTATTGGGTTAACACTTGATAGGGATGTTTTCCTGAGTGCAGACAACTCAAGGTAATGGATTAGCACATTATCATTCAATTACAAAAATAGGATAGGCCCCCTCAGAATGATTTGGGAGCCTTCCTGAGACATGCACATTATAAATGTAAGGTTTGTGTTAGTCATTTAACATGCAAGAATCATATACTCATCAGTCCAAAGCAGATAAATGTTATTTTAAGTTAAATGTGAGCTAGTCCCTGTGGAATAACCCTTTCTCAATGATTCTAGATGTTATATTAATTCACCATTTACCGTTTGATCAAGGATTAGTTTATCAGAAGTACATTTCCTCTTCCATAAAACATAGGTTTGAGAAATTAATGTTCCAATATGAAATCAATTGCTCAATTTCTCAATATAATTTGACTCTTCCCTCCCTTTTCTTACATATTGTCACATATGAAATAATAACTTAGGAGTCTATCTAAGCATGGTATTGTCTATATAAGCTATTAATCGAGAAAACTCAGAGTCAGTATGCAACTCGCAAATATCTCTCCTCCTTCCTATCCCTCTTTACTCACTTTCCCATCTCTTTCTCTCTTATTTCTGTTAGATATGAAGGAAAAAAACATACAAGTCCATGTAAGCATCTGAGTTACCACCGTTACCAAACGGTGTGCCGCAGCACACTGGTGTGCCGTGAGGCAAATCCGGGTGTGCCGTGGGATTTTGTGACAACCATACATTATTTTTTCAATATACAACTACACAAAAATAATCATTTATTTTTTTTAATTTACTATATCAGTACTTTGTAGGTTTATGTACGTAATCTGCGCGACTTGCGCGTCCACATCTCCACGTGCAGTGCTGCATAAACATGGCTGAGTCAGCGATAACCATCGAGGGGTGGAGGTATGCCCATTATTTTTATATCACGCAGTCTATTCTTCTTCTCTGTCTTCCGGTTGTTGCCTGTATTAAATGACAAATACACACTACCGCCATGGATTTGATATGAACGAGGCGGCAGTTAGCAGCTAGCGGCTAGCTAGTAATGATCTAGTGATATCGGTAATATTAACTCCATTTAATACAACATTTACGGTACAAGATTCAATCATACAGCCCATGTAGTATGACAATGAATTACAGCAAACATGTGCAATATATCCATTATTACAGCTCCGTGGGATGGCAGTAAGACGATATGGATCCGTTCCCATTGTGCATCCATGGGTAAAGATAAACGCAACTCACATTGGTTCCTCATACAGCATCTCTGTAAACTACGTGTATTCACTGAATTTCACTCTCTGCCTTTAACGCTCGTTGTAGCTCCAAAAGCTCCAGCCAGAGCCTGGCTCCAGCACCCTCCCTGTGAGCACAGTGTGCTCTGATTGGTCGGGACACGTAACATGAACGTGCCGGGCTGCGCGGTCCCGTGGATTAGATGCGCGTTCATAATGCAGAGGGAAATAACTCTCAGAATAACGTTATTAGCAAATGTTTTACAACTTGAGGAACGAATGTTTTTTAATAAGGGCTATACAAGTGTTCATACTGGGTAGTTTATTTAGTTAAACAAAATTATCCAACGAGTTACAGACCACTCTTTCCCCATGTAAGTCAATGGGAAAAGTGTTTTCGGGCCTGGCAACCAAACCGGAAGTGTAGTACCGCCGTTTGGCCAGCACGAATATTTTCATCTGAGTCCGGCGCACTACCTGGGGGCTTGACTACCGCCGCCTGCTGGTAAGGAAAGTTATTGCCACTCACGCATGCGCAGTTTGTACGTGCTCGGCGAGGAAAGTAACGAGTAAAGTACCGAGTTACTTTATGTAGATAGTAACGAAGTAGTGTAATATATTACATTTTTTTAAAGTAATACATTTATAATTTGTAGTTCCGGACCATGGACAATGCAGCTTCCTTGCATTGACAGTTGTCTGTGCTGAATTTCTGCTGAGTTTCCTTTGCCTCATTTTCTATTTTGTGACCCGTCTGGTGTAAATGAGTGTGTTGCTGGTTTGATGAAGCCTAATTTGATAAAGTTTCAAATTAATTTCGGAAATATTTCGTAATATAGTTGTCTTTGTCACATTTTATTTGGCATTAGTAAATAATTATGCACATTTACAGATACTTTACATAATATGAGTGATAACACGTGTTATAAGGGCTATCTTTTCACAATAGGTGTGCCTTGAGATTTTTACTTGTCCTTTGGTGTGCCTTGGGCACAACAAAGTTTGGGAACCACTGGCATAAATGATAGTGGGCGTCTGAGGGTGTCATTACTGAGAAATGTCAAAGAAATTCAAAACCTTACATTTTAAAACAGGTTTGCATTCCTCCACTTAAGGTGACGTTATCATTGGAAACAATAAAAACGAACTATTTTGATGTAGAATTTATAAATTGAATCGTTAGAGCAGAACAAAATGGTTGTATTGTAGCCTGAGTTCCGTGCAGCCCTAGTTTCAACAGGTGTAAACATGGTCCATATAATGTGAATACATGCAGAAGTAGACAGTAAGAGGCCCCTGACAGGCCTATTTGTTAAAATAGTAGGGGCTCTTCACTCTGCATAGCAGTATGAATAGCCTTAAAAAACAAACAACCCACTCCGTGGTAACGAGAGTCATATTTCTGACCCATATGCCCTAAGTGAAGCCGTTAGTCTCATCTAACTGACCCAAGGGTTGGTGCTGGTGTGACAGTTCCAAGTGTTCAGAGCAGACTTCTAGCTTCCGGTTCATGGCTCGGTGGGGGGGAGCAGACCCACGTGAGACAGTGTCAATGGCTGTATTGTTCAGTGTGAGGAGCGTCATTCTCTCTGGGAGCAGGAAATGGTGTCCATTCTCGGACCAAACCATTAATGTCATGTAGAGCAGCCATAGCATCTCTGTGACTGCACTCAGCCGGACTGTAGCAGGGTAGAACTGGGTGACTCTTAGTGAAGCTGTCCAACGCCATTAGACAAAATGGAACCACGTGCTAACAAAAAGGACACAGGGTCATCAAGTCTCTCTTTACCATTGGCCTAATCATAAACAAATTAGTGGGAAAAATGTGGAACACTAATCCATCATGTGGAATGTTGAGTTAATTTAAATAATTACTTATGGGTTGAAATCAAATTAACATTAACATTAGAACCAAAGTCAGTTAACAAATTGGACTTGCACAGATCAGTAATCAATACACCATTTTTCCAGCTCCGTGATGAAAACGATAACAGGCAGGGATGCAAACTTGTCATCAATAAAATATTATTGGGGTATGGACAGGGTTGCTAACTTTGGGTACCTGGCTGGAGTGAGATTTTGATATCATGGGTTTAATTACACACATGCGCACGAAGCGACTGCTATCGTGTCCGTAGCGGGACCTTAGCATATACTTAGGATATATATATATAATATATATATACAAATACACAATATTGGACACAGACTATAAAGGGCACACAGTTTCATTAAATAATGAAAGTCAAACACATGTTTGTTTCCACTGTTTTATTGTGTGCCTGTCGCGATAAGCAACTTATTGACTTATCGGCTCCCGAGTATTTGTGTTAGATAATCTATGGTAGGGCTAACCCATACAGTGGTGGGGCTCAAATCAGTATTTGAAATGTAATTACATACACGCTATATCGCCCCCTTGTCAGTGAAACGCCACACGTGAGGTTTAGATTATTTCCCTGTCTCAATCCAAATTGAACTGTATGAAATTAAAATAAAATAAAAACATTTGTCTTGTAGTAAATAAAAAGGCGACCTGGAGCCAATCCTGCCATTTCCTCACAAGTGAAAGAGTTCACATGCTGAAAACCCAACCCCCGCAGGGGGTCTGGGGGGATTCTCCCCCAGGAGATTTTTGAAATACTAACATAAAATACACATTCTCTCTTGAGATGAAAAAAATAAATCCATCTATTACTGCACGACATATTTAAATGAAGCTGAACCTGCTGCTCCTCCCATAGGGAAGAGGCTGTGTGAATTACTTCGAATTACTTTGAAATTACCCCATTGTTCTTTGTGTCAAAATGGAAGGTTTCTGGCTAACGTTAGCTTAGGTACTCAGATCTTGTTCTTGAGTACAAGTAGAAGTACCAGAGTGTAGGAATACTAAGTTACAGTAAAAGTACTGCATTCAAAATGTTACTCAAGTAAAAGTATAAAAGTATTGTCATCAAAATATAGTGAAAATAGCGACAGTAAAAGTAGTCGTTGTGCAGATTGGTTTATTCCAGAATACTATATATGATATGTTTTATAATGATTGATCATGAAAGTGTTCTCAAAGCTGGTGAAGGTGCAGCTAGTTTGAAGTACTTTGTATACTGCATACGGTAGCTGGTGGATTCACTCCAGGTGGAACTAAAGTCTGATTAAACACTTGATTAGATTTCACATCATTCATCCACATCTGAAAGTAACTAAAGGTATTAAATACATGTAGTGGAGTAAAAGTACACCATTTACCACTGAACTGTAGTGGAGTAGAAAAATAAAGCAGCAAAACATTTTAGATACTCAAATAAATTACCAGTATCTCAAAATTGTGCCCAAGTATAGGACTTGTTAAGTTTATGAACTTAGTTACTTTACACCAGTGGCTATACAGATAGAAAGACTAAGCCTTGCACAGAGGCAAGAAAAGACATTTTAAAAATGCTCAAAAGTTCTGCCAAAAAAAACTGACTGCTGAAATTAGATCTTCCTTTGTGCTGTGGTCATAAAACCCCCAATGGGTCGCGCCGTGGTCTGCTTCAGATTATCTTCTCCTTCCAGAGGTCACGCCTGTCTCTGACCCCGTGTCTTGCGTTTTATTTTTATTTTCTTCTTCTGCAGCACCAAGCAGAGTTAAGAAAAGGAGGGGATTTTGACTAGAAATAATTTCAAACAGTTAAATAAAGAATGTTGAACTATATTTAAAACTGTAATTGAACTTCAACTCATATCCATTATCTGATTCCAGTGGCCAGTTGGAAACAGATAATGACAAAGTTTTCATTTTGCATCAATCGTGCAAAAAGGTTCAATCACCATTGTGTCTAAGTCTTGTCTTATCTGCTTTGTTTCGGAATGTGTTCAATACATTAGGTTATTTTATTTTCATTATTACCATACAATACATAGATTAAGAATAAATGAAACAAATAATACAACATTGACCTATTTGAGCAGACAGATGACCCGCAGTTATGCCTCTGAGGTTCCCGGGTGTAAAACAGAGGCTTTTTTTGCTATTTATTTTCCTTTTGCGGAAATTTAGATTCATTTTACCTTGGCTGTGGACTGATTAATTATTAGTTGTTAAAAAACATGCACAAGACGGCATATACAAACAAACACGAAACAATTATACAAACAAACATGAACCCGCAACAAATATCAGGTGACAGCTAAACTCATCCAGTTTAATTTTAATTTTTTACTTATTGTTTTTTTAAAAATTTTATTTATTTATTTTTTTTAAACAAAATCCAATTCAATAATCCGTAAATTTATTAAACACAGTGTGAATGTAATATTCTGCCACCACCCTTCCCATTTAATAGCTCAATTTAGTTCTTGAGCTTATGGTGTGATTAACAGAAAATACAAGTCTGTGTTGTTAAACATTAATTCAGTTGATGAGCAATAAACGACCTTATTCTCAATCAAAACCACTATGCAAATGTAGTGGTAAAACTGCTCAACCGACCGAGAGCAGAGATATTAATTAATTTAATTAATTCTAAGAACGGAATCTGCTGAAGAGTAATAACCACATTATTCTCAATCAGCAACCACTATGCTAATTTAGTGGTGCTCTGCCCTCCCCGATCCGGAGAGGCAGAGACTTTTAATGAATTCAGTACCCTTTATTTTAACAACAGCCAAATTCAACAACCCCTCAGTTTATGAAACACAGCGTGACGTAATATTTCGTATCACGTTTCCCGTTAATAAGAGTTCTGTTTAGTTCCAAAACTCATAATGGTGCGATTTAAAAATAATACGACACTGTGCTCTGTTTCGTGTGCTGCTCCCCACAGGGGGGGGGGGAGGGGAATTACCCACACCCTCTTCCTGCAGCAGCAACAGGGTGATTTCGAGGCGAGTTGATTTAACTAGTTAAACCGTTGAAATCTCCAGAATTCGGCGATTCGTTTCAGTACAAATCTTTACATTGCTTTTAAACCGAAGTTCCACATTACTGATGCCCTCTTTAAGGTCTCTCCGAATGTTTGCCGTGCACACACACAGAGGAAACCAAAAATATTGCATCTATCTGTTCCACAGGTAATTTTATACCGTCAATCACAGAGTCTGGCGAGGCAATGTCAAAATATAGATTTGAAATTACACTCACCAGCTCGACGATTTGTTGGTAACCGTTCGCGACGCCAATTGTGAAGTTAAAACTTATTTGCAGCAATGTTGAGCGCATCATCAAATGAGGGAAACTGGATTCACCTGTCAATACACTGATATTTATTGAGAGACAGACAATTACATACGGCCGGGAAATCATCCTAGTTTCACACTGTCCTTGTGCTCCACCAAGGTAATCTCTGCCCCAAAAGACACAAAACATCTAACCAACACGAGGAGAGGCGGGCTCCCAGAAAGCCCGCGTATACCTAATTAGTAGCAGATGTGAGACAATAGTCTACTTGTCTCAAAGAGATCCAGACAAGCCTCAACCTACACAGGGGTCTTTGACTGACTACAAGCAGATGTTTGCAGTATCACAGATTCTATAAAACAATAAGAAACTCTATAAACAGATCAGATGAAAATATTCTCTTACAATAAGGCAACATGTGACCTTTCAAATATTTCTTACTTTACCGTTTCATTCTTTTTTTTAAAAGGGACGAGTTGTATCATGGTTAAATTATCCTATCTTTCCCAGTTCTTAACTTGCAACAAAACAGTGTTTATTATGAAATACTAAATTGGGTCAATATTTGGCTCAAAAAACATACAGAACTTTACACCTACAATCCTGTCTTAATTATGAGGTATCTACTCAGACCATGAACAACTTAAGTCACAGGTTGCACTGTTGGGGGAGCCTGGGACTTCAGTTTTTCATTGCCATATCTACACTGTAGCTAATGTGCATATGACAATAAAGCCTTGAAACTTGAAATGAGGTTCAGCCTATGTTGTCTCTCCCAAAGGAACCTGCAGCTGTTCCTGCATCCAGTGGAGGTAAACAGGCTGCCAGCAAAACCAGCGTTACTTATGGAAGGAGCAACAGCCTGGGCACCAGAGATAGTGAGACGCGGCCAGTGATAATAAGGCTGGTGCTAATAAAGCTGGTGTTAGTTTGAAGAGAGGCAGCGTCGTCCACCAGGGGCCCCGAGCGGCGTCTCGCCCCGGCAGACAGGCTCTGCGCCTCTGCAGCAGCCGGAACTTGTCGTCCCTCCAGAGCTCCTCTCTTTCTGTCGCGCCCTTCATGAGAAGCAGCCGCTCTCTCAACAGGCTCGACCAAACACCCACGGGAGATGGTATGTTTGACAGAATATGCATCCAAATTAAGTTATTTTAAAGTCCATCTATGTTTGTATAGAAATCTAAATGTGGTTGCTAATTGGTTTTAGAAATAAGAATGGATACATATAACTAAAGGAGCTTCTGAAAAAGTATGATTTACAGCTTTTGTCTCTGAAATAGATCCAGAGCATGCAGTCAAACAAGGACCAACTGCAGCAAATAAACTGCTGTCTTATTCGGAGGAGCAGCTCAGGTTTGTTGTTTTAAAGAACTCAGATAACGCTAGGTTTTACTTTTTGTTGTTGCTTTAGGAAATGCTGCTGTTGTGCTATATTTCAAATTATGTAAAAGTGCTGGGCTTGTTTATGTTTCCATCCTTAAAGGGATGACGAGGATCAGTTCGATGCGGATGAGGAGGAGCAAATGAAAGCAAGCAGCTCCTCTGAGCTTCAGGAGTCTCCCTCCTCTGCATGTCATCATACCTGCAACAAAGTAAAGAAACAGGTAATGTGTCTTTATGAATACCTTCTTACAAAACCTCATACAAGACTGCCAATATTTCTGCTTTCTTAGTTGTTATATTGTATTGTTGTCTTATTGGATGTACCAGTAGGGAACAAACCCTCTACACATTATTACAGTATATGTTATCTAAGTCTTCTAAAAATCTAAATTGAAAAAAAGATATTTAATTAAGAAAACTCACATTGGATGCTCGAGTAAAGGGACTAAAATATTGAGGGTAAATCAATTAAATCCATAATTTGAAATAAACTGTGATAAGTTAAAGGTGTAGGTAATTCACTTCAGAAACACTTTTTGTTATATTACATGGAATGCTCTTAACATCCCGATAGCAATGAATATCTTTGACAATAAATCCATAAAAAAATGTCATCTGTGGAAGCCGTAGTGCTGTAAAAAGCACGACCAATCATCTGAGCCGGCCCGGCTAAAATAACTGGATGGCCTACCTGCCTGTCAGCCTTCCATCTGTGCACAAACTTATCTCGTGCCCTCATTGGTCATGTGCGCGTTTGTGTGTGTTGGAGGAGGGGCTCTGTAAGGAAGTGGCAGATTTTTTACGGCTGTGTATTTTCAAATTCTAGCGCACTCGAGCTGGTTTCTCCATTCTTACCTACCCCACCTTTAATAAAGCATAACACAAACATTCAACTGGAAAGCTAACATATCCACTTCCTCAACTTTAAGGTGTGTAATAATAAATGATATTTCTCTTCCCACAGACCATAGATGGGGTGCAAACGCTCTGTGCCATGACCTCTATGCGACACAACTGGGTCCAAGCAATGTTGAAAAATGTGAGGCACAGTCCTACCTCTGACGTCACAAGGTCAATAAAGTTGTTAAAGGGTCTCTACTTTTACTAATGTCAAGATATTTTATAGACGTTGGTGCATATGACGTATAGTCAAAACATATTTCTTTGTTATTCCTCGCAGCTCCTTTTCAGAGCAGAAAACTCCCCTAAAATCACAGCTTCCAGACTCAGCCGAGGGCCCGGAGAGAGCTGAACACCCCGAGCCCAGCAGCAGCGACTGTGCAGAGGAAACACAGGAGCAGCAGAAACACCAGGAGCCCAGCCTGCAGCCGGAGGCAGAGCGGCGTTCTGCTGATGGAAGCTCTGCATCGCCTGCCATCTCCTCCTCTCATCTGGCCTCCCCCATCTCACCCTCCGCCTCTTCCGCTCCGTCTCCCATCAATCCTCCTGGGCAGGTGGTGGAAGGTAAAGGTGCTTCCCCTCTACGTTTATATTATATTCATATTTGTTCTAGCCAAGTTCTTACGAAAAGCTTGTCGTGCTGTTGCTGTTAAGTCAATGACAGCAATTTGGACAATATTGGCTACTATTTCATCATCGTTATAACACATAATAATGTACATTTAGAGGTTATAGGTGTTTCCAGTCTTCATTATTATAATACAAATATATATTATTTTCTAGTAAAGTAGATAAAATTAAACTTTTATTGTAAATAATGAATACATTTTTCTCTACTTGAGTGTTGGATTATAATCTATTGGAGTCAATGATGGCAATTTGCCCGATACCCTATCTGCTACAATTTGTAATAATAAATATATATATCTTAAAGTACATATAATAATAACACATTAATATAAATGTTCCTTTATTGGCCGATGATTCAATTTCCCCCAATATATTATACAAAACGACTTCATATTGTTTCATTTTACATCAAAAGTACTACATTTTCTGTGCCTCAGGTGTGACCGGTGCGTCTTCGTGTGTTGAGGGAAGAGCCGGCTCTACTTCCACAACAATGCAGTCAAATACTGAGAGCACAAAGGAGAAGGAGAAGCAGCAAACTGCGCCACTTGTCATAGAGGTGATATTCTAAATAAAAACCTATGATAAAAACTACAATAGTTACTCTTTATATATGAATAATGAGTATGTGTGTAAAAAAAACAATAGCTTGAAGCATGTTCACCTGAATAAATCAAAGCATGCTAGTTAGTGTGACAGCTTTCTTAATATGTTCTCTACAGCTGGAGCAAACACAGAGGGAACTCTCTCGACTGCGGCAGTTAAACAGGAATCTGCGGGATGAGGTGCAACAAGAGAGAGCGAGGCATGCAAGTGAAATGGTATAACATTCATACATTTTCACTTTATGTAGCAATAAGTTTGAAGGGGATGCACTAATGTAATTTGCCATATTGCGAAAAACACACATTGCTCTGTAAAAAAGGCAAGCTAGGATGCCAGATAATTTGAAAGTTAAACCCTAGAAGTTAAAGTGGACCTATCATGCTATATTTTAATAATATATTGTAGGGCCATACCTATATAAAACATGTCTGTGAAGTTTTTTTTTCAAAATACCAAACAGATCATGCATTTTAGCCATGCCTCATTTAGCTCTATTTACTCTATTCCAGCCCTGTCTTCACAAGGGCTGATTCTGTGGCAAATGAGCTGCAGCTGACCACGCCCCCCTGCAAAGGAGGGGGGCGAGGCACGAGCATGCTGTTACCATGCTGTTACCATGCTGTTACCATGCCACGCAACCTCTCATTCCCCTGATAGGTAGAGAGTTGCCCATATAGGCGGAGCTCCTTGTTTCTGACGTCAGAGATATTTCAAATCTGTATCAGTCTGTATCAGATCCATTGCAACCCCGTTTTTAGAGATTTGGGGTATGGAGGAAAAGAGACAGGGTTGTGTTTTCTGACACTTGGTGAGTTCCCTGACACACCGGGGACACATATTCATGTATAAAAGACGTACAAAAGTGCATTTTGCATGATAGGTCCCCTTTAAGTTACTTGTCCATAAGCATGAAAGCACAGTTGACACTAACACTGCTCACTTTGTTCCGCAGAACGACCTCCTCTCAAACTCCAACTCGTCTTCAGAACAAGCTTTGGTTTTACAGCGTCTTCATAAGATTAACCACGACCTGCGCCTTGAGCTGGAGGATCAGAAGAGCAGCTTTGAAGAAACAAGAGAAGTAGAACTACGGCGAAGGGTGGACCTCTTAGCTTAACAAGCTCAGATACTGGTCACGGGCGATGCCACTGCCCTCGCTCAGGCCCGCCTGGAGCAGGACCGGCAGAAGTTCATGGAGCAGCGGCAGGAGTGGGAGCGCTGCAGGGCCTCGCTGAAGTCCCAGCTGAGTGCCAGTGAGGGACAGAGGAAGGAGGCCGTGTCGCGCTCCACACAGCTGCAGCAGGAGTTGCAGAGTTACCACAGTCTGGAGCAGGAGGCTCAGCGCCTACACAAACATCTCCAAGAGGTGACCACTCAACTTCAGGCCAATGAGGAGGCGCAGGCTCAGAAAGAGGCTCGCCTGCAGGAGCACCTCATGCTCCTTCAAGCCAGTCAGGACCGAGAGCGCAGGAGCTTAGCCTCAAGCCTGGCGCAGGCAGAGCAACTCATGCAGGAACTCCAGCGGAGACTGGACATGTCTGAGCTGGAGGTGGACAGCCTGAATAAGACTCAGACGTGGACCAGGGACATCGAGGAGGCTCAACAGCAGCTTCAGGAGGAGCTGGCGTGCACGGTGTCTGTGGTGCAGAAACTCCAAGATGAGAGGGGGCATCTGGACCGGCGCTGTCAGGAGCTGCAGAGCCAGCTGGGCGAGGCGGACGGAGAGGTGAGCCGGCTGCAGAGCCGCTTGAAGACAGACGAGACGCACTACTACAATCTGGAGCACTCGTTCGAGAGAGTTAGCGAGGAACTGCAGCTGGCTTTAGGGAAGGAGCGGCAAAGGGAGTCTGAACTCCAGGAGATACGAGAAGGCTACGAGAGACTCCTGGACAGGAAGGAGCAAGAGCTGACTGAAGTGTTGCTGAAGATGGAAGTCTTAGGGAACAGCCTGGAGGAGACAGAAGTGAGGCTGAATGAGAAGTTGAAGGTACTGTATGTAGCTGCGGCTCTCCTCAGAATGACCGCAGGCCCAACGTTGATCACGCAGGAGATGACCCGGAAAGCTTTATGTCTGTGATCCAGGTCCTGGAAACCAAGCTTTATTTGACAGAGGAGAAGCTAAGGGAGATCATGCAAAGACTGGAGGAGCACCAGAGTCACATCGGCTGCCAGGACCCCCACCTCTGCTCTCAGCTGACTCAGAGCCGAGCCACCGCTCAGCACCTCAGTCTGCAGCTGCACAGCCAGGCCAAGCAGAGCCGGCGCTTCGCCCAGGAGGCGGAGGGGCGCTGCAGGGTGTTGTCCGGCAGGTTTCAGATCGCACTGAACATCGTACAGGCCTGCAGAGGGAGGCTCCAAGCCGCTCCGGTTAACATCACAGACTTCGACAAGCAACTCGCCGCAGCTGCTTCCTGCATTCAGCAAGGAGAGAAGGATGCTGATCAACTGCAGCAGGAATCACTTAACGCCAGCAAAGGAGGGGACAAGATCCTCAGTGATGAGACTTTAGCTGGAGCTGAGAACAACAGTGCTACGTTTACCTCAGAGGAGGACATAGAAACAGTTGGAAAGTGTCTAACGAGGGAAGTGCTTTTAGTAGATCAAATGTTGTCCGTCCTGCAGAGTCAACCTACTGTTATATCTCTAACACCAAGAGAGGAGGAGGGGGATTTGGCACACAGGTACAACATAATGATATCGCAAAGAATAGCCTTAAAAATGACTTATTCTGGGAGAGCAGGATGTGACAACAAGGACCCTATAAAAAGGGCAATAGGTAGAGTCTGTGCTGAAGCAGAGATCATTTATGCTGCCCTGAAATTTCAACTGCAACATGAGAGCGTTACTCAAGAAAAGAATCCAAAAGTTGAGCATCAAAAGAAGAGTCTGGCAAATGTGAATCCCCCGGAGTTGGCTCCTTATGAGGAGCAGCAGGTTCAGGGACAGCGAAAAGGTTCAGAAGGAGCCACACAGCCACCTGAAAGACATCAACCTGGAAGAAAGGAAGAGAAAGAACCAGAGTGGTTAGAGAGACTTATATCTCGGCTGCAAAGGAGAGCTACATTCTTACGCAAACTCTGCCAGGAAGTTTCCGATGGCAGCGGAGTAGAGCGAGGCGTGGATGATAAGTGGGAAAATGCTTCTGCAGCCGACCTCAGGTGGATGAAGGAGCAGGCGAAGTTGATTTATCTGTCAGACAGACTGCACTCGGATTTAGAGCGGCAGCGCAGCGAGGTGTTACAGGGCAAACTGCAAGCTCTGTGCCAAGAGCAGGGCAGCACATTAAAGGATGAGCAGGAGGCTTTTCCTCACACCTTATGTCAGCTTCAGGAGGACAACAGCGCATTACGAGAAACACTGGAGCATGCTGAGCAGAAGATCATATTTATTGAGACTGGGAACCGGAGGCTGCTGGAAGACATCGAGAAAATCGAGGAATATCACGAGGAAAGGATGAAGAATCTGGAAAGTGGGTTTCAAGAGAAGATCGGGGAGCTGCAACACATCCACGAAGAGGAGATGCAGAACTTGCATGGCTACTACGTCAAGTCCTCCAAAGAGAAACAGAGCAACATCTGCACAGAGTCAGAAGAGGATTACCTGAAAGAAACACACGAGGTAACACACACTTTTGCCGTACTTCAGGAAACAAACACAAGGTGCTGAGATGCTGAGGTGCAATGCCTATTAGTTATTTATAGTATATTAAATATTCAATTCAATCAATCCCTAATGAAATAAAGGTTTAGAGTATACAATCCCAAAACACACACAACCTCTCTACACTATTATAATCTCACAAATGTTCTACTAAATAATCAATACAGAACTTCTAAATACAAAACAAGCATTATTTATCAATACAGGACGTCTTTGCTGCTGCACATACAAACATAACATTTATCGGGTCTATTAGTTCTTTATTGTATATTTATTGAAATCAAAATGAACAAATCACAGCTGAAAAAATAGTTTACAGTAAGAGTATGAAACACGCACACACACCATGTATACATCACTTCGGGGGACATTACATTGACTTACATGCATTTCCTGGAGACTTATCCTAACCTTAACCATAACCAACACATGCCTAACCCTAACTCTAACCCTTAACCTTACCAAGTCTTCACCCTAAAATTAATGATTCCCCTCATGGGGACCTCCATTTTGTCCCCATAAGGGAGGCGAGTCCCCACACGTGACTGTGTAAACAGATTTAGGTCCCCACAAGTATAGTAATGCTAGGCCTCACACACACACACACAGATTTATGAGAATCCCATTTTTTCCCTTCTGTATAGCAAGTTATATTTTAACACACACACACGACTACTGCACATACATTACCTAAGTACTACCTTATCAATACTGAACCTTTTCTCAATGTAAATACAGGCGACCTGTGATCAGGGCTTCGCTGCTATGGAGGAGATGCACCGGCAGCTGATCTCAGACCTGCAGAAGCAGCATCAGACGGAGATGGCAGCGCTGCTGAAGCAGAAAGACAGGCTGCTGCAGGAAGAGACCGCCGCCACCATGGCAGGTGAGGGTCTTCAGCAGGAAGTCAAACAACAGGAAAAACATTGAGGCCTGTTGAGTCAATGCAAACTCTTTACGGTTCTTTCTTTTCAATATCGGAAGCATTTGCAGAAGTTGTAACAGTGTTTAGTTGATCATTGGGAAGTAACTAATTTACTCAAGTACTATACAATGTTGAGATACTTGTACTTTAGTTGAGTATTTCCATGTTATGTTACTTCCTACTTCTACTCCATACAATTCAGAGGTAAATACTGTACTTTTACACTACATTTATTTTGTACCTTTAGTTACTCTGCATATTTGGATTAATTATGTGAAATGTAAAGAACTCTTCAATAAGACTTAAGTTGCACCTGGAGTAACATTCACAAGCTGCAGTATACAGAGTCATTCAAACTAGCTGCACCTTTACCAGCTTTGAGAACACTTTAATGCATCAACAATTATAATAATATAACATATTATATATAGTATTCTGAAATGGATACATTTGCATAATAAGTACTTTTACTTTTGGCACTTAAAGTATATTCTGATGCTAATATTTGTGTAATTTAACTTGAGTAACATTTTTAATGCAGGACTTTTACTTGTAACAGAGTATTCCTACTCTCTGGTACTTTTACTCATGAAGTACAAGATGTGAGTGCTTCTCCCACCTCTTGTTGATGCACATTTCACCTCGTTCTACAGCTATTGTAGCGATGAGAAGAGCCCATAAAGTGGAGCTGGAGAAAAGCCGGCAGTCTCAGCACATCAAGAAGAGCGCTGACATCACTCAACTGCAAAATGAATATGAGTAAGTGGCTGCTTTTCCTTTTACTGCGTTTTTGTTATTTCTCTTACAATTAATCTCCTAAGAAACAGTAGCATACATCTCACTCTGTCACTGCAGCTTTTATTGCAGCAGGGCTACTGGTTCATGGTGTATTTAGTGATGAACGAGCCTGTGTCACTGACTGCTGTCCGTGGTGCTGATACCTGCATAGTGACACACACAAGAGCTATTTCAGAAACCCTAACGCACTTTAGCACATAATTCAAAGTAAAGATACCCTTATTACTTATCGAAACTGCACATACAATATATCCGATTAAAGCTGAGACTCCACAAATTATTTAAGTATAGTATCGAAGCGATCCGATCTCGCAACAGGGGAAGCAAACACAGACATCACAACACGTACCTTTTACGGAGCTTTTACGAGAGATCGTCTCACCGTAGCTGTCAATCTGATCAAAAGACGTGTTCAATGGCATTAAAACGAGAAAGAAAAAACGCGGCTGAATCGTTTGATCCATAGGTTGATAATGTATCTGTGGCTTTGAAGCAATTGTTTATAATCCATAATTCTATTTTTTTGTAAAAATAGGAGCACAAAAGTTAGCTGCTAATGGTAGCTACCAGAGTGTATGCAGCTTCCGGTTTTTGCTACGCGTCACTCTCACTCCTTATTTGTTCATGTGTTGGTGTGTGTAGAACTTCCCCTGCATGCACAGCAAACCACCAATCACAATCATTCTGTATCAAGATTGATGCAAAACAAATGATATTTGACCTTTTTAGACAGATTTAGCACAAAAAACCTCTTTTGGGGCCATTTGGGTGGATTTTCCATATCTCTGGCCCACCTTGCTGAATTTTGACATGTGACATCTCTTTCTGACCGTCAGAGCCAATGGAATCGAGGGGAAATCACACAGTCCTTATTTGGTAATGTGTGTGTGTGAGACTTCCGCATTGCCAAGACCGGAAGCAGCAGCTACCATTAGGAGCTAACTTTTGCTCTGCGATATTTACATAAAAATGGAATTATGGATTATAAATTAATTTTTGTATACAGAGACGTTAAAAACCTATGGATTAACCGATTCAGCCGCGTTTTTTCTTTCTCGTTTTAATGCCATTGAACACGTCTTTTGATCAGATTGACAGCTACGGTGAGACATCTCCCCTAGAAGCTACGTAAAGGTACGTGTTGTGATGTCTGTGTTTGCTTCCCCTGTCCGAGTTCAGATCACTCAGTGATGATACTATATACCTAAATAATCTGTGGAACCTCAGCTTTAATCGGATATCTTGTAAGTGCAGCTACGATAAGTAATAATAAGGGTACTTTTATCTTGAGTTCTGTGCCAAAGTGCGTTAGCATTTTTCGCTTAGGGGTCATTTAGATGCTTCTTATGAGACTTGTGTTTTGTATTGGTAAAAATGGTTTGTATCGTCAGTTAGCTGAGATTATTTCCGTTAATCTGGTATAACACATTAATAGGTTCTTAAATATTACGATCCCCTGAGACACTGTCGTGAAAAAAAAAAGTAAAGTACCCGCCGGGACTTTGGGGTTTAACAGGTTAAAAAACCCGCAATATATACCGCAGGGGGGGGGAAAAATCGCGATGTCAGTTTTTTTCAATACCGTGCAGCCCTACTGTATATGGTCACAGCAGAGGCACAACATACAAATACGAACAATAAGCATGATAGGACCCCTTTAACATGAAAATAGCAACTGTTCAGAAATTAAAAAGAAATCTGAATTCTGATTAATTATTTAAGCTCGTTTGTGTGTGTGTGTGTGTGTGTGTGTGTGTGTGTGTGTGTGTGTGTGTGTGTGTGTGTGTGTGTGTGTGTGTGTGTGTGTGTGTGTGTGGTGTGTGTGTGTGTGTGTGTGTGTGTGTGTGTGTGTGTGTGTGTGTGTGTGTGTGTGTGTGTGTGTGTGTGTGTGTGTGTGTGTGTGTGTGTGTGTGTGTGTGTGTGCGCAACAGGACAAAATATACGCCCAGAACAAGCTCAAGGCCCTCCATACGACCAGCCTGGATGAACCACACCAAGATGTCACTTGGTCAAACCTTGGTCAGGACAGAGCCTCAGTGAGACTCACTTTATTTTGTGTACATTGTTACATTTAAAGACAACTTGTGAGATGTCTACTTACACATTAAACATTGCTTCTGTTAGTTATTAAACAGGGCTAGTCAGGATGATAAACATTGTACCCTCTTGTTTTCTCAGAAGACAATGGGACAAACACAAGTAATGCTGCTTTTCTGAAGAAGAAAGATAAATCCTCCCTCACACGTCAGATCAGAGGAGTCCGATCAAAGGTACAATGTGACTTTTGATAAATGCAACATTTATTTTTCATATCAACAACTTTTGAACCTATGACCTCACAATGACGTCCTTAAACTGTACTAACAAGTGATGTCAAACTTTGACTCTTTATTTTCTTTTCTTTGGCTTGCAGAGTTTAAAAGAAGGTCTTTCTATCCAAGAAAGAATGAAGTTGTTTGACCACACTGGCTTTTCTAGATGACCATTTTTAAGATTGATATAAAATATTAAAGGAATCACAAAAATATATATTTTATGTTGGTCCTATTACAGTGCACAGTGTAACGTATAGACCATAGACTGTATATATAAATGGACGTAGGGTCCGTGACGTCACCCATAGGATTCTGCAGAGTTGCCGTGAAGCCCTTAGTAGGCGGAGTCGGCCACTAACGGCTCGACAGTGACGTCAGAGTTCAACTCCCGCCTGTTCCAGCCTGCTCCAAATAAGGGCAAAGAGGCGAAGCCGAGGCGGGACCTGCTGCCACCGAGCTGGAAGTTCCAGAGCTAGCTGAAGCTACCAAGCTAAGCTAACATGCTCCCCATCTGCACGCTGCCGTCGCATTTTACGTTTCTAAGGTAAGCGGACATGAAACTATTCAGCAAAACTATAAATAATAATCTAAGTTATTGAGTTTTAACATAATACTTCAGAATCTTAAAACCCCTTAACGTTTGTATACAATTGTGCTAAATTCAACACTGGAATCAAGCAAATATTAATATGTTTGCATGACATTAGTTATTTATATTTTGATATCACTTAACTATACGTTTAATACATTTAAGTCAAGCTAAGGTACATGTGATGGTAGCTAGTTAGCGCTCTTACCTGTGAGGCCTCCTCCAAACAGCATAATAACCAGACTGTATCATTAAAACTAAGTACCAGTTATAGATCCTTGACTTTAGACAAACAATTCAAAAGACAAAATGTATTTAAAGACCAATCTTTATTTGAATGTGCCTCTTAACCTGAGAAATTAGTTATACAGTAATAGTATTGACAATTTAACAAAACTGAGCAACTCAACAGTCAACTTTAAGTTTCTTATTGTCTAAAGCATTTATTATTTTCATTTTCCCAATCTCATATTCAGTGTGGACGGATTGAGACAGTCTGGTGTCCAGAGAGCTGCAGAGACTTCAGGGAGAAACCTCCGTGTGATGGACGTCCTGTCTGTTGGTTTGGAGAGGACTGAGGGTCTTTCCTCTGCGAGGAGGACTGAGGGTCTTCCCTCTGCGAGGAGGACCAGGGCTGATGAAGGAGCCCATGCTGGGAAAAGCTGATACCAACTGCACAGGCCTAGTCGGTCACTTTATTTGACTAAATGTGTTTAATACATTTAATAGGTTTACACCTTCTGTCCATATGTGCTTTTTATTTAAAACATTTGATTAACTTTTGGTTCACATTTCAATAAATTGTATTTGCACTCCTTTTGTCCATTATTCTTACTGAAAATGTTAGATTACACATTCACATCTGACTGAAGATTGGCCCCATTTATTTGTGACGTTGCAAAACAAGGTACATGTTGTGAAGCTCATAAAGTGAGGCAAATAGAAATAATCAGCTGATGGAGTGTAGATGTGGAAATAGCTGCATTCGATCAGCTGACTGTTTTTACAATAAAGTAGTTTCTTAGTGAATGTCCTGTACTGGTCTTAAAATCTCATAACATCAGCTTTTAATGTTCCTCTTGGATGTTCTTCTTGACCCTCAGAGAAGGAGAAAATGTCCTGTCTTTCAGGCATGTCCTTTCCTAACAAAAATGACAGGAAACATAAAACATATTATTGCAGAACAAGTGTGTTATTTATGAAAGCGGTGTGTTTGTGTGTTTAGGGGCTGTAGATATAATTATTTTGTAATTGTAATGTTTTTTTTTATTTCAACAATGAGCTACAAAGACAATCAGATTATGAATGAACAGTATGAAGTTCATCAACATTGAAATATATGTTATTATCAAAATAATATTGAACTGTTATCAAAACGTAGTGCAACTGTAGAAGCTTGTGCTGTTGTCTCACTGAAAGAATAACTTTTACCACGTTTTTTCAGACAATATTGAGAGATAAATAGTAGCAGTTCTCACTTTGTGTTAAATATCTTTGCCTTCAATACATTAAATTAGAAAGCTGACAAAGTCATATTGCTTGTTAACAATAACATCTAAATGTAACTTTTTGCATGGATAAAACCCTCAACTTAACTGATGTGTAGGTGATCTAGTATTTAGTATTGTTTAATGGAATATATTCAGTGTATTCAAGTCAATACTTCATTCATTTAAACCAATATCTTTCTTGATTCTTTGTACAGTATGAAAAAAGAGTCTTTGTACCTGTGCTGAAGTTCACTGCTGTGAGGAGTCCAGTTCTGTCTCTCACTCTCTGGTCCAGCCTGTCTGCATCACCTGGACACCTTAAACAAACAGATATATATGTAAAGTACCATGTGTACAAACAATATAACTGATTCTCTTCTGTTGAACATGTTGGATTGTGTATTGTCCGAGTCAGGGGCCTTTTTATTTTACTGTAACTTTGGAAGTTGTGTTACCAATGCTTACTGTTTATTTGATACCCATTTGGTAATGCAATTAATAAAAACAACAAGGTTTGGGTTCGTTCTTCAGATGACTGTGACGTTAACGTGTAAGCTCAATAATGAACTCCAGCTCAACCAACCATATTGTAATATCTAACTAATCATCTTGAAATATGACATTAATAATTGTAATATACACACATCTTATTGTGAGGTTGATTTCACATACACTATTTCGACATTAGCTTGTCTACATACTTGCGCATAGCCAATTTAAATTAACCTTAGATGCATACAGTTCTACCTACATAATAAAATATCTCTAAATTACAAGGATGTAACCTTATTTTATCAACCTCAAACAGAAGCCGTTTGTTCAACAGTATTATCCCACTTAACACTTGTCTATTTCGTTGTAACCTTTATATATACAGTCTATGATTTTAACTTGGAGGCTACGATTGATTACAATCGTTAGCACCGATGTAGCTACCACTAGCTTACATGCTAACCCGAGCCTTACCATTCATTACGTAGCTGATTAAAATCATTAACACATAAATAAAGCACTCGAATTTTACTTACCACATTCATGCACCGTCTGTTTTAACCGCAGAGCGAGTCACAATAGTCCGATAAATAAGCATGAAGAACAAACAACCACGGCCGGCTACAAGTTGTGTTTCCTGGATGAGCTGAGCAGGCAGAGTCCCTGTAGCTAGCTTCACGGAGCAGCTAGCAGAGAGACAAGAAGCTAACAGCGTGACGGCACTTGACAGAGCCGTCACTCAATGTGACCACGCCCTAATTTATGCACAAACTTTAAGACCTAATATAAATAAAAGGGTAGCGTTAGAAAACAATTAACTCACAGATCCATAATCATGAAGGTGGAATCTAACTATATCGATAACAAAATGTATGGAGCCAGGGGTAGAATCATGTTTTTTTCTGCTGTAAAGTTGGGCATTTTAACATGGGGGTCTATGGAAATTGCTCCTTTCTGCAGCCATCGCCTATCGGCCAATATATGAACTGCAGTGTGTGGCACTTCCGTATTGGCTTCCCGGCTCTACCCCACAGTTTGCCGCTTGGGTTTAACCAGAGCCATATAATAGAAGAGTTACGACAACGGAAGTCCAAAAACGGTTATCGTCACGTGGTTCATGTAGAAGAGGATTGTTCCCCGGAAGTTCATGGCGGGCAATGTGAATGCACTTGATAACAGGAGATAGAACTACGATTTTTGGTAATTATTAGTGAATAAAGGTTTTGATTTGCAATATTTATACAACAAATCGATATGTGTATGTATTTACATCAATATGTTTTAAAAAATAAAATAGAATTTGCTAATATTAAGTGATAATATTAGGATTAGTGTGAACAACTAGTTTACATGGTAGGCTAACAGTGCCTTGGTTAAAGAGCCTGTTGCTGTTTATTTATAGCTTTGAATTCTTTAAAACCAATATTATCTTCTTAAACCTGTATGGTAGTCAGGAGCATCACTTTCTAATGTTTATTGATATATTTAGAGGGAGGGGATCTAAAGTAATGCTTTAAAATTCAGATTAGATTAATGTCTACCATTTTCTTAAATTCATGGTAGTTTCAGTAATCCCATGGTAATTGAGGACACAAGTTATCTAAATGACTAATGTCATCTTTATGGCTTTCAGAAAGGACAGGAGACCGACAGGTGACTATCAAAGGACTAGCAGCAGCAGCATGATGATGATGTTAAATGTGTTGTTTTAGGAACATCCATTGCAAATACATGGAATTCAATAAACATTGAATAGCATATCATGCAGTTTGTCTGTGCCTTTTCCTCCTTGTTGTCCTGGTTTGCTGTGCTGCCTCCTAGTCGCCACCATGGTTTGCTGTGCTGCCTGGGGATGCTCAAATCGCTCAGAGAAAGGAGTACGAATGTACAGCTTCCCCACTGACACAGAGCGGAGGAAGCAGGAGCAATTTCACAACCAACAGCAAAAAAATATGTGATTTATATACAAACACTGCATTTGCACTTTTTCACAAAACGAAGAACACACCATTGGGAAGCTTAATGTTTGGTTTAATACAAATAACAGGGAAAGGCTTGAAAAACACAGAGTTGAGACTCAAGGTGCAGGGTGAGGGTCTCAGTGCAGGTATTCAGGCTCCATTGAATCCCCCTCTGGTTCTTGTGCTGAAAGAGGGAGTAACAGACAGGAGAAAGGGTTATACACACCTATATAGCACACCTATTGGATGGGAAATTGCCTTGGGGAGATAAGGTGTGGTCTTTGTTCCCAACTGAAGTTATGGAACTTTATTATTTGTGAGTTTAACAAAGTATGACAAATGGCATCAGTAACATATGTGATATGAATTTCTATAAAGTTGTCTCACATTCTTGGTCATATTTTATATACAGTATGTAATGAGTATAACATGTCCAGTAAGTATAAAGTGTTTCCTAATACTGTGTATTCAACCACTATGGAATATGTATGTGGGCAGACAAAACTGAGTTGTTCTGTGTGTGAAGTAACCTCAAGTCACTCCGCAGGCACATTTTGATGCAGACCAGTTTGTCAAGACAAAAAAGGGCAAGACTAGGCTGAGAGCAGAGGCTATACCCACCATCTTCGTGCATCGCCCTGTGGTCAAAAAGAGAAGGGCCCCTGCACCACGATTCACCCCGGGACCTGTATCTACAAAGCCCATAGCTCATGATCACAGCGATAGTGTGAAAGGTGACACAGGTATAATAAGTATGAACTCTTAGTAACAAAAGTAATATTTCTTATTTTTAAGTGGTATAATATTTTAAATGTTCGAACATTTACAGTGCCATGTCTTCTACTTA